AGAATATCCAAATTAACAAAATCAGAAATGAAGGGGGGGGGGGTAAAACAACAAACACTGAGGAAATCCAGAGAATCATTAGGTCATACTATGAAAACCTGTACTCAACAAAATTTGAAAATGTAAAAGAAATGGACAATTTTCTGGATAGGTACCACATACCCAAATTAAATCAGGACCAGATGAACAATTTAAATAGACCAATAACCCCTAAGGAAATAGAAGCAGTCATTAAAAGTCTTCCAAAAAAAAAAAAAAAAGCCCAAGGCTGGATGGTTTCAGCACAGAATTCTACCAGAACTTCAAAGAACAGCTAATACCTATACTCCTCGATTGTTCCACACAATAGAAACAGAAGGAACACTGCCAAACTCTTTTTATGAGGCTACAGTTACCCTGATACCCAAACCACACAAATATTCAACTAAGAAAGAGAATTACAGACCAATCTTACTCATGAATATTGATCCAAAAATTCTCAATAAAATACTGGCAAACCAAATCCAAGAACACATAAAAAAAAATCATCCAGTATGATCAAGTCAGCTTCATCCCAGAGATGCAGGGATAGATCAACATATGAAAATCTGTCAATGTAATCCACCATATAAATAACCAAAGAAAAAATATGATCATCTCATTAGATGCTGAAAAAGCCTTCAACAAAATCCAACACCCCATCGTGATAAGGGTCTTGAAGAGATCAGGGATACAAGAAACATATCTAAACATAATAAAAGCAAAATACAGCAAGCTGACAGCCAACATCAAATTAAGCAGAGAGAAACTCAAAGTAATTCCACTAAAATCAGGGACAAGACAAAGCTGTCCACTCTCTCCATATCTATTCAATATAATACTCAAAGTTCTAGCTAGAGCAATAAGACAACAAACAGAGATCAAGGGGATACAAATCAGAAAGGAAGAAGTCAAACTTTCACTCTTTGCAGATGATATGATAGTATACATAAGTGACCACAAAAATTCTACCAGGGAACTCCTACAGCTGATAAACACCTTCAGTTATGTGGCAGGATACAAGATCAACTCAAAAAAATCAGCAGTCCTCCTATACACAAATGATCAAAGGACTGAGAAATAAATCAGAGAAACATCACCCTTTACAATAGCCACAAATAACATAAAATATCTTGTGGTAACACTAAACAAAGAAGTGAAAGACCTGTATGACAAGAACTTTAAGTCTTCGAAGAAATAAACTGAAGAAGACATCAGAAAATGGAAAGATCTCCCATGTTCTTGGATAGGTAGGATGAACATAATAAAAATGACAGTCTTACCAAAAGCAATCTACAGATTCAATGTAATCCCCATTAAAATCCTAACACAATTCTTCATAAACCTCGAAAGAACAATACTCAACTTCACATGGAAAAAACAAAACAAAACAAAAAACTAGGATATCCAAAACAACCCTGTACAATAAAGGAACATCTGGAGTCATCACCATCCCTGACATCAAGCTCTATTCTACAGCTGCAGCAATGAAAACAGCTTGGTATTGGCATAAAAACAGACAGGTAGACCAATGGAATCAAATCAAAGACACTGATATTAATCCATTCACCTATGAACATCTGATTTTTGACAAAGAAGCTAAAATTATACAACTAGAAAAAAAGAAAGCATCTTCAATAAATGGTGCTGGCATAACTGTATGTCAACATGTAGAAGAAACCAAATAGATCCATATCTGTTTCCATGCACAAAACTCAAATCGAAAGGGATCAAACACCTCAACATAAAGCCAGCCACACTGAACCTCACAGAAAAAAGTGGGAAGCAGCCTTGAATGCATGGGCACAAGAGACCACTTCCTAAATATAAACCAGTATCACAGACACTGAGAGCAACAATTAATAAATGGGACCTCCTGGCACTAAGAAGCTTCCATAAAGCAAAGGACACAGTGAATAAGACAAAATGGCAGCCAAATGAATGAGAAAAGACTGCAGCAACCCCACATCAGACAGAGGACTGATCTCTAAAATTCATAAAGAACTCAAGAAACTAGACATCAGCCAGGCTTTGGTGGCACACGCCTTTAATCCCAGCACTTGGGAGGCAGAGGCAGGTGG